ACAATAGGCTTTTTTATTTTATATTTTTTTCAAAGCAACGAACAATTTTATTAGTTTTGAACACATCTATCAATGGCTTCAAAGTAAGAATATTCAAAGGTTTATGAGATTGGTAGTAGTTTCATATTTTATTTTATAGCAGACCGACAACGACTAAACATATGGGAAGAGGACAAGAAAAACCACCACCACCACCACCATCAGTAATCAAGAAAACGACTAAAGATGCGGGAAAAGGAAAAGGAAAACCACCACCAATAATCAAGAAAATGTTTTTACATAATCATAAGACGAATAAGCGTTATCGTGTCAATGGTGATAAAGAGTCTAGTAGAAAACCAGCAAAAGATTCTCTACGTAAAGACTTTTCACAATACATGGTGTATGCTGCTCCACAACTACCAAATAAAGTTGATCTTCGACCATGGATGACTTTAATCGAGGATCAATCAGACACCAATAGTTGGTGAGTGCCGCATCGTCAATATGATAAATAAATATTTATATTGTCTTTTAATTTCTTATTAGTACGGCAAATGCTATGGCTGGAATCTACGAATATTTGAACTACAGAATTACAGGTCGCCTCGAAGATGTTAGTCGACTCTTCATCTATTACAATAGTCGAATTATAGATAACGAAGGTGATTCTGATATTACTGACGAAGGTGCTACCATTGCTTCGACTATTGAGAGCGTTTCAGAACGTGGTGTTTGTCTTGAATATCTATGGCCGTACAATACTAAAATGGTCAATACCAAACCGAATCAAATGTGTTATGCAGCTGCCCCACAATACAGCATCTCTGAGGCACTTGAAGTTGATGTTAATCTTAATGAGATGAAGTGTTGTCTTGCTCAAGGATTTCCGATGCTTGTTAGTCTGAATCTATACAAGTCATTTGACAAGGCAGGTGAACATGGAGTTGTTCCGATGCCTAAAAGTACTGAAGTAGGCCGATCGTCACATGCAAGGTAATTATATTTCTTTCTGTTCAAATAGTATAATCAAAAACTAGCATTATGAAACAGAATCCTTTTTATTTATCTTGCTTCATTTTAGACATTGTGTCGTCGTAGCTGGTTACAGTGATCATTCAAGAGCTTTTATTGTACGAAATTCATGGGGATCAACTTGGGTGAGTCTTTCAACAATTATTCTCGAATAGATTTATATTCTTTGTATTGTCATAGGGAGATAAAGGATATTGTTATATACCGTATGATTATCTGGGAAGTACTGACTTGTGTAATTCAGCTTGGACAGTCAAAAATTTAGGCATTGCAAAAATGACCCAAGAAAGTTGGCAGGAGGACGATGAGGTTGATTATTTGGAAGATGATGATGAAGAAGAAGATGACGACGATGATGATGAAGATGCTGATTTTGAAGAAGAAGAAGATGAAGATGAGCCAGATTATGATGATGACGATGATGATGATGATGAAGAATAGAAACATTGTCTATGAAATTTTTATTTTCTCTTCATAAAATTTGTTTAATGTTTTCTTTCGTCATGTCATATCTATTTAATCTACATCTTAAATATAATGAAGAAAAAACTATTTGAACATATAATATCGCTAACGCTTTAGATCTTGAGAGTGTTTTTTGGCAATTGTAAACGTTTAAAACACTTCATTTTAAATATAATATGATGCTCGGCAGATGTCGTACTTATATTACTTTTATTCGTTGTGTATATACACAATATAATCTTAAAGAATGAAAAAATATTTCGATTCGTTGTATATTCGATAATACCATTCGATATATTCGTTCACGGTTGTATTCATTTCTCAAGGTCAAACTTTTTATATCGATACTATATAATAATTTTTATTTTAGCTACATATATATATTGAAATGTTATCATCTTTCTCAAAACTCATTCATAATTCTCGATTCTCATTATCACTTATAAAACAACAATGTTCATTTATATCAACATCATCAATAAAAAATGATTTACCATCACGTTCATCTGATAATAATTCTCAAAAGAATAAAAATGATACGCATGATCCACAAATTGATTCATCACATCAATCTGGTACAATTAGTCAAAAAGAACGTACTGCATGGGAGAAAGCAGAGCACGACATAACTTCTAATAAACAAATAACCCCAAAACCATTTCTTCACGATCAAAAAAACAATACAAAAGCACCCACTCAATAAATAAATCAATATAAACATATACTCATCATTTATTCCGGCTATTTTTTCTTTTTTTTTAAATTAAGTAATATTGTAATCTATAAAAGATTCTAAATAAATAAATATCTCATATAATAATTATCCATACGTTTGTAGTTAGTCTGTTTCAAAAAAAGATATAAGACCAAACTGTAATATATTTTTATGTTTATACTAAAATAAATGAATGAATTTAAAAGTTTCTAAATAGTATATCATCAGTTAATTGTCTGTGTAATACTTTAATAAACTTGTCTTGGTATAATTTGTAGAGTATAGTCACGGATCTCTGCATAATCGGTATGGCCACATTTCTCATTGTACTCTTCACTGGGTTTAACAATGATTCGCATGCGATATGTGCCAGTTCTTCTATGTAGTTCATTTACAGCTGGTATATGTATTTTATGATCATAAAGACCTAAAGGAATTGAACTACGCAATGGCCATCTATGTTGAATAAAACTTTCTGATTGATCGTAACGTCCATCATCATTTAAATCGATCAAAACATTAACGTCTTGAGCAAGATTGCAATAATCATTGAGTGGACCTCTACTTGAAGCTGGATCGCAGTCCAATTGAATACGTATACGATAGTATGTATTTTCATAAACGCTTACCGCCATATGGTGGCGATTTTGATATTCTCGTACAACAGTATTATTATGTGTATCATCTCTGATTTGAGTACCTTGTTCACCAGCCATAATAACAAGAACTATTCGAGCATTGGTTTGTCTACAAACAGCATCACTTAATGTCAAATAAGGACCTCCAATATCGACTACAAACAAATATTAATAAAAGTATATTGATAGATAAATAAACAATTTTACCTGATTTTATTGTATCTGAAACAATTCTAACTGTATAATTACGTATTTCATTATAATCTCTATAGGCACATTTTCGACGGTACTGTTTATTTAACGCAATAACAAGTTGCATACGATGCGGTCCACTTTTCATTTTTCTACCATCGATAAGAGGTACACGTACTTGCAGATCGTAAATTCCTTGTGGTAAATAACTGGTTAATGGCCAACGATAAGGAGTTACACGTTCTGATTCACTGAATTGTTCATCATCATTGAGATCAATCCATACATTGATATCATGAGGTAAATTACAGTTCTTATCCGATGAATCTCTGTTGAGGTTTTCATCGCATTCGAATTGTAATCGTAGTAAATAGGTAATACCTTGACGTAAAATAATCGAAAGATGTTGTTGATTTTCTTTATTACCCAGCAATGTTCTTGTTGAAAAATCATCTCGAATTTGAGTTCGATGTTCACCAGCCATAATAGCAAAAATGATTTTACCAACTTGTGGTGAACATGTAATATTCTCTGGTGCCAAATAAGAATTGGAAACATCAGGTGCAGCTAAAATATATTTATAAATCAAACTACTACATAATAATTAGAATCGTTTTATTAAATTCTCTGATAAAAATTTCATCAATATTGGTGAATTTCTAACACCTCACTGAAGAATTTTGTGGCTATAAGATTACAAAAATTTGATATCTGTTTAAATATTTTTTCTATCATATGAAACCTATTTGATTTTAATTTTCAAGTGATAACATTTGAAATATAAGAGAAGGAGACTTACGTAAATATGATGATCGTGAAATAATATTCACATTGTATTCACGCGTCTCACTATATTCTGTAGAGCTACATGTTCTTTGATACTGTTCATTTGGTGTAACCATAATACGCATACGATGTGATCTATTTGTTATATATCTTTCATCAATCAAAGGTATACTTAATTGTATATCATAAACACCTTGTGGCATATAGCTTGTAACTGGCCATCGATGTGGAGCTCCAATTTCTGACGTATCAAAATTTCCATCATCATTCCAATCAACCCAAACATTAACGTCTTGAGCTAGATTACAACCTGTATCGGTTAATTCAGTTTTTAATTGAGATGAACAATCCAATTGAATACGTAATAAATATACAGTATGTTCGTAAAGTGTAACCGCCATATGATGCTGATTTCGGTTAGTATTTGTTAATGCATTATATACTTTATCATCGCGTATTTCAGTGCCAACTTCACCAGCCATTATAACAAGAATAATTCTACCAAATTGTATTGAACAAAGTGAATTTCTGTACATATATGGTGTAGTGGTGATAACTTAAATAAAAAAGTATTACTAACATAAGTCTTTAGAATAAGAGAATAAATGTTTACTTTCATATCTGGCTTTCGGGATGATGTTGACAGTATAATCTCTCGTCTCCTTATAATCCATAGTACCACAATCTCTTTGGTATTGTTCACTTGGCATTACAGTAAGACGCATTGTATGTAGTCCAGCTCTTGTATTTCTATCATCAATCGCAGGAATATATATTTGTAAATCATATATACCTGTAGATGCACCATTATTTGGCCAGGATCGATGAAGAATTTGACTTTCTCCATCATCAAATCGATTATCATTATAATCGACCCATATATGTACACTTAAAGAATCACTGCATGGATCGCTAGTAGAATCTCCATCTAAATATCCACCACAATCAAGTTGAACATGTAGTTTATGAGTTGTTTCTTCATATAATGTCATAGTTGAAGATTGACTATTGGTATACGTTCTTATATCATCGTGTATATTAGTTCCATAATCGCCGTCCATTTGAACAAGTCCAATTTTATTGAGACATAAAGCACATCGAAATCTCTTTATTGGAGTATATGGAGTATCATGATTCGAGGCCACTCAAAAAAATATATATATATATAAATTAATAGCTTAACAATTAAATTTACATATTCTCATTCGTTTGGGTGCAATTGCGACTGATGTTGTTGCTTTTCTTATCTTTCTTTTTCTTGATGCTGCTATAACTGTTTCGTCTTTTTGTTCATCTTAATAAATAATAGTATAAATTTTTTTCAAATTAATAAATCGTAGTTTTACCACTTATATCCGAAATATGACATATTTTTATATAAATATTTTCAAACTGATTGTTCTCCAATTGAATATTAACAGGAATAATCGTCATTTGATCAAATATGATTTTTAACTGCTCTTTAACTTGAATTTTACAAATATCATCGCCTTGTGAAACACATTCATCTGCATATAAAATAGCAATAGTTAACTGAAGAATATTTCCATTCAACGGATCGTCACATAGAATTCTTAATCGAAAAAAAATACATAGACTAGAAATGAATATGAAAGTATTATTGAATATTCTTACTCTTTTGATTGAATATTATTTTGAAAAAATCCACTGAGAACACGAATTTTATTTTCATTTAACTTTTTGTTCAACTATAAAAACGAATAGGAAAATAATTCAAATAGAATATTGCCTTTATAACAAACATTATTTGTTATAATATCAAGATTTTTTATGATTGGTGATTGATTCTCGTTGTCAAAAATATAACTCGTACTGAATATGGCTTTGAAGGTCATTTTTTCAATATCTATATAAATATATTTATTTTATGTAATATTGATTATTAAAAAAAATGTTCAAATTAACCTTGTTTCATTTCAATTGTATCATGAGATTTTTGACGAGCGGGAATTATTTTCGAAAACGCAATAGCGACGATAATTGATAAGAAGATAAGTAACAAAATACCGATACCCAGTTGAAGGTATTTTGATGTATGTGTCCTTCTATCGAAAATAGTTCTGCTATTATTCAATACATTGTTTAAAATTTACTCACTGTTGTTTTGACATTTTTCTTTTTTGATGATCAATGTTGGTTGTTTGATCACCATCATCTCTCAGTATCGATTCGATCTCTTTTTTACGTCCTAAAATAAATCAACAAATAATAGATAAGATAGAATAGAAGATTCTGACCTAAAGTCTTCATATAATTCTTTTGTATTGAGTAAATTCTAATTGAATAATGGCTTAGAAGAAATGAGACGGTTTATTAAAATCTCGAGCAGATTTTTTTTCACAGCAGCTTGAGTTTTGTTGGTTTTTTTTATAAGTAGTAAGCGAAGATATTTATATCGGGTAAACAAAGATATCATATGACGATTGAAAAGATGTGGTTTGTCGAGAAATGAAAAGAATGTTTTTAAATTTGGTGTTTTTTCATATGAAACATCAAAGAATACTATTGTATTCCACAACTAGGTGATATCACCGATTTATGTCAAATGTGAACTCGTGACAATTTTGGAACTGAAGTAATGAGTAAGGGAACCAGATAGCATACATAACTATGCTGTACTAAGTAGATATGCCCGATTCATGGCTAGCGTCTGCGCGTTCCTATCTGTTTTCACTATAGAAATAAGCCTTTCAAAATGTCTCGAACATTAGGTTAATATAAACATCCGCTTATCAAAGCTCCAACCAATGTAATATAGACTTGAATAAGGACGAGTTTATCCATCTCTGCAATTACGAAACTCAAAACTCAAGGAAGCCACAGAAGCCAGACAACTGAAGGAATGTTAAGTGATTAAAGAAATTTAAGTAACCGAAGAAACTCGAGTAACTAAAGAATGTTAAGTGATTGAAGAGATTCAGGTAACTAAAGAAATTCAAGTAACTAAAAGAACTCAAGATGTCTGATATAAATATCAGATCTTTTTTCTTAAATTTTAAATATTTATATGAAAAATTAAATTACTAAGTAAAAACTATTGTTAATAAAATCAACTAAAGAACAAAGAATGAAAAAAATATTAACTGATCTTGAGAATACTTGGTAAAATTTATTTTTTGGTTTTTCATAAAATGAATACATAGGCATTGAAGTTAAATATGAATTTTCAAATAGAAAAACATATCCACGTACAAATAGTACACTTGTTTCAATAACTGAACACCAAAATAGATTTGCAAACATCACTTTCATCAAAATTTATTTTACATTTTATTGATTTCGATTAAAGATAGTAATGATTTTACTCGACAACCACAATTGAGACATAAATGGGATTCAAAAGATAATAACAGTTATGCAAATATATATGATACTAGATTTAAATAATAAAAGTCGATTGGTCATTACACCATTAACCAATAAGTAAATAGTTAATTAAGAACGATTCCTTTTTTAATAAACTGTTATCATTGTTCAATTTAAAAGAGAAGAAAAAAAAATAAACTTCTTCTTAACCGCTTTCACCACTGTTATATCTCGATATATATATTAAAGAGAAGACGCCGAATTACTTCTTACGAAGCATAACCCTCCTTTATTTAACTAAACGCATATATATATAGATAACAACAAGGAAAATACAAAAGAAAATAACTGAGGTATAGATTTCATGCTATTTCATATCATAACAAAAATAAATAAAAAAGTTTTTCTGTATTATGAATAAAACTTCAAATGTGTATACCATCTTTAATATTTGCAGATGCTTTTACAAATGATTTGGTGCATATATCAATCAAATAGTAAATTAAGATACATAATAATAAATTGTATACTCTTGTCGATGAATCGATTAATATAATACATAAGTTAAAATAATAATAGAATTTAAAATATATCTATAGCTGATTTCATTATTTAATATGGCATTTTGATTAATACGATCAATATTGGTAACGTGTCTTCGAATTGGTAATACATTTGTTTTTAAAAACAATAGGCCAATTTGAATGGTTTTTATAATCACAGATATTAAACAAATCATAATTAATAATAATATTTAGGTCTGAGTATGAGTATGAGAAAGATGCATTCACACCTATTCCACACAGAGATAATAACAAATTTTAACTGATTCTTTTTGATTTGCTTCTGTTAAATAAAGAAAAATTATTTGTATTAAAACATGTCTTTTCTTCTTCCTTTTTCCTTGACTATTACAAAGCATTTTTTTTCTTTCATACAGGCGTTTAACTTAATTAAATGCACAGCAAAAAAAATCTTTTCGTAAGTATTAATAACCAACAAACATACATGGTAGGTTAGATATATTTCTATATATGTAGTTGTATAATGATAGGTGATTTTTTTTTGTTATTTATCAAGGGTTTTTGTAACTGAATTTTATTATTATATCTGTCAATCGTGCTATGATGTGTTTTAATTTTATGATTAATGGTTTTCTCGAGACAACGTCGTTATAGAATTTTTTTTTGATGACGTAGTTCTCCTTACTTATTTTGAGAACTGTCCAACAGAGTATAACATAAGAGCGATGAAATAAGAAAACAAAGGCGTCATCAGCATAATAGCGTAATGCCGAAGAACAGTAATCTTAAGAAGTTATTCTAATTTCTCCTCTTACTTAAAAAAAAATGTTTGAACTGACAATTTTTTTGTAAATATAAGGTATAATCATGATTTCATTCCACTAAAAAAAGTATAATGCTAAGCTTTCATTGTACAGATTTTAATAATCGAGAGGTAATGTGTTGTTATTAATTTTTAATAGTAAATATTCTTTCTTTGACTAAAATAATTATAATTCTTCAAAACTTTAGATGAAAACTATTAGTCATATTGTACAGAAGTCTGATATTATTTCTCCTAATAAATTACTAACAGTGAACATCTGCATCGTTCAAAATATAAAAAAAATTTACTGTTGAAAAGAATCTCGATGCATTATTATAATTATTAACAGGAATACACTTTACTCAAACATATGAACTTTATTCTTGATATATTAACAATGAAAATATTTTATAACTACCTCACTAGTGAAATAGCCTTGAGTATAATTGTGCTCATCAAAAAATACAAGTTAACAGATGTTTTAAATTACGAAAAGATCTCTGTCAAGAGATAAGAATCGAATAGAAAAGAAGTATTTTTTCGGACTTTTATATGATATTATAAAAAAAAAATAGTTTATTTGAATAAGTGTATTTTATATTATGAAAATTACTTTTACCAAATGCAATGAGTAAAACTTTTTTTTCTTATTATATTAAAAACTATATGTATAGTGTTGTTTCCTTGTTTTTGAAATGCAGCTAGTGCATTTTTTTTCCATGTTTGGTAGACAAGAAAAGATGAAAACAATTGCACTTTTAACTAAAATAATTTCATTATATTCTTAGTTGAGAAAATGAAGAGATGCACATTCCCTTATAACAATACATCGTAGAGACGTACGAATAAAAACTTTCATGGAATAAAGGTAAAATGAAATCTAATCATTATGTAGTTTTTCGATCATTTGTATAAAATATTCAGTAAAAATGGTTTGAATAGATGTGATATTTAATTTAAAAAAATCGAAGGAAAGTAAAATGAGGTATGTTAGTAATATTATTATTATAACTATTCCTATTTAACGTTGCTTTGGTATTCTAAATAAATTATTTTTACTGCAAATAGCAGATAAATTCGAGGAGATCCATATATTCGAAGTTGGCGTAGATTCAATCTTAATTAACTTTTTGTATTATTCATCAACGAGTTTTATTTATATCAGACGCCAATAATTAACTGGTTCGCCATACGCTGTTAATATAGTTATTTCTAGTGCACTCCCTATGTAGGTGAAGCTACCATTACATTCGAGTAAAATCTTTGCATATCTGTTCGAAGATCTGTATTAAACGTTTGGGATAGTTTTTTGGTAGGAATATGATATTAAATTCACCCACATGCCTTTTTTCCCAGTTATATGATCATATCTTTCAGTTTGAATTTCTAGCGATGAGATAAACATAAGGAATAGAAATGTAATCATGTAAAAATTAATATTTTTAAAATATTAGTTTCTACGTCGTAGATGTTTCCCATCAGGTAAACAACAAAAAAAAAATAATTTCTAACAAGTAAAATTTTTTGCCGTTCTCCGAATAGACGAGGCGATATTAACGATGGTAACACTTAACAAACAAAACTCTCCGGAATCGTATTTTATTATAATATATAGTTAATTTCATGATAAAAATCAGTTACGAACAAAATAAATTCAATTCCTGTATATATTAGAAAAGATACATATTTGAAATACTTGACAACGAACATTTCTAATGTTTTTTTTATTGAAGAAAAAAGAATTGTGAAGCATAAACAAATCGTCATAAGTATTAACTATCCACGATAGTCGATGCTTACGCAAGATAATAGTTTCATCACAATTTAGATGATAGAATCGCTCATAAATCTCTAGATTAGTAGTCCGACATCAGAAAATTCGTGCCGGATTACTTTATTACAATCAATTGGGTTGCATAAGATTTTTTTCTAAGCGATTTTATAAACATGCCACACATCGTATGTAGTCGTATCTCACAGAGGTATTCGTAAGTAAAAAAACTCGCTAAGATCATAATGATGTCATAGTTTATTCGTGTAACGTTGCCATCAGATGTCACTACCTATTTAATATGACAATAAATTATATTTTAGATAATATATATATGATATTATTTGACATTTTCCATATTTGGTTGTGGATGCTGTTGATTGGACCAATATCAGGTGCGTATTTGATACACTTTTCAAAAATTGTTTTAAGGAAAGTAAAACTATTGAGCTTCGATCTTTTTTCGTACATAAATCTCCAACAAATTTCACCAATAAAACGTTACATTTATTCGATCTATAAGAATCCGAGAAATGATTGAAACTACAGTAAACTTTTCTGTCTATGGCTAAACTCGATATGATAACTACATTTTCAAGACTTTCATTATATCCCAGAATGTTTTAACAGATTAGAGCTCGAAGTAGTAGTCTTAGAAACCAATATCAAAGTTCCGAAAAAACATTTTCCATAGAATTTCATGTTTGAGTAAGATCAAGAACGAAATTACTAAATGCTCCATTTGAGTTTATAATAATCTTTATCGTTCAAGCTCCAGTCATAGTTTTCTTATTTTACCTAGGCATCTCCTACAATCAACCTAAACTTTGTGCAAATGCATCGTGGAATTCTACAGCAATTACGTTCGCGAACAGTACTATAGTTGGTACAGGTCCCACTGGTATTTTTGTTAGTTCAAATAATACCGTCTATGTCGCTGATCAGTTAAATAATCGGATCCAAGTATGGCTTAACGGCAATACGACACCTACAAGAACTATCTCCGGTGGTTTGAACAGACCTTATAGCCTTTTCGCCACAGACAATGGTGATATTTATGTCGATAATGCCTATTCAAATATGCGAGTAGACAAATGGGGGACAAATTCAAATAACAGTGTTCCGGCGATGTATGTTTGTTCACAATGCACTGGTGTTTTCGTCGATATTAATAATATGCTTTACTGTTCAATGTATAATTCTCATCAAATTGTCTCGCAACCATTGGATAAAAGTGTAAATTTATGGAGTATAGTCGCCGGTACAGGTACTGCTGGAGCAACATCGCTTACACTTAATAATCCTCGCGGGATCTTTGTCGATAATAATCTTAGTTTATATGTAGCTGATGGTAACAATAATAGAATTCAAAAATTTCTATCAGGACAACTGAATGGAACAACAATATCAACAGGAACCATCACATTGTATATGCCATCTGCAGTTGTTCTTGATGCTGATGGATATCTCTTCATTGCTGATTTGTTTAATAATCGTCTTATTGGCTCAGGACCTTACGGATTTCAATGTATAGCTGGATGTTCTGGATCAGGATCGCAATTGAATCAGTTATCTTTGCCAACAATATTTAGTTTTGATAGTTATGGAAATATATTTGTCACTGATTATGGCAATAGTAGAATTCAAAAATTTCTTCTGATTAGCAGTTCATGTAGTAAGTAAAAATTAATTGTATCACATTCAACAATAGGCAGGTGCGAGTATAAGTGAACGAGAGTCGATATCTTCTTCATCAAAATTCATAATACACTTATATATATCTTTATATTCAAACTCCGAAGAGAAAAAATTATCCTGTGTTTATTTTTGAATGAATTTATTCTTTTTTAATTCAATTTCTCTTATAGATGGAACGACAGCTGTTACAACTATATCTACTGGTATTTTCTCATCGATTATGCTTTACGAATAATTTATATTTCTTTTTAATAGTAACTTCAACCAATACTACTTTGACAACTGCATCATCTTCAAAACGTACGTAATTTCTTTATCAGAATGTTTGAAAATGACTTAATGTAGACTACGATCATCTTTTTTGCGAGAGAAGTGCCTAGGGCCTGAGAAATAGAGATGCTTCTGCAATTTCTCGACAGAAGTAGATGACAATACAGATAATCGGTTGATCCCACCGTGGATTTTGACTGATTACTATGGGTTTATCTAATTTACTTTTCTACTCTTATAAAGTTGAACCATGTCAAATAGCATTGTTCAAGTATAAAATCACATTTGCAAGCAGTTAGGACGAATTTAGATCTATCCATCGGATGCCGTCTGATCTTTTCAAACTCAGCACCATCTTAAGCTAGAGGTAGTTCAGCTCCGACTGGAAAATTTTAAGATGAATAAAAGGGCATATATGAGCTACCAGCAAAGCGGCCTCGAAAGGGATTAAATTCTTTTATGACTTATTTTGATCTTACCACCAACACTCACCGTTCCTATTTTCAAGTTGGATATGTATAATTCAGAAAACCAAAGTAGCTTTGTCTAATAGTTCCTGACAGTTGAAAAATCCCGATTTCTCAGTTCTCGAGCGTCGCTAACTGATGGCGATAAAAGATTTGAACGACTGTATGGAGTTTTTATGCAGAGTAGGTCATTCATATAGCGACGCCGCATACGCGGTTATTAAGGCCGAGTGGCTTTGTCGCTTTTAATATAGTTTAATAATTTTTATAAGAACTTTGTATAAATATGTTTTTTAGTTCTTCCTTACAATTTACTGAAATCCACTGCCTTTACTTCTTGGAGTGCCAATGGAATAACTTTTGCTAATACGACGATAATTGGAACAAATCCGTATGGTATATTTATTGATACTAACAATACTATATACGTAGCTGAGCGAACTCCAAACCGTGTTCAGGTGTGGCATGACAGTAGCAGCACACCCATAAGGATTCTCACAAGTGGTTTATCTACTCCATTTTCTATATTCGTTACTATTAATGGTGATATCTATGTCGATAATGGTGGTTCAAATACTCGAGTTGATAAATGGACATTAAATTCAAGTACTAGTACTTCAGCAATGTATGTGAAGAACTCGTGTTGGGGTCTCTTCATCGATATTAATAATAATCTTTATTGTTCAATGTATGCACTCAATCAAGTTGTCATGAAATCATTGACTACTAATTCAGCTATGTGGACAGTTGCTGCTGGTGCAAACTGTTCGGTACCAAGTACGAATACACTTAATGGTCCTTGTGGAATTTACGTTGATACAAATCTTAATTTATATGTTGCTGATTGCGGTAACAGTCGAATTCAATTATTTCTATCAACACAACTAATTGGAAAAACGGTCGCAGGTACGGGAGCAATAGGGACTATTGCTCTAAGTTGTCCTACTGGAATTGTTCTTGATGCTAATGATTATCTCTACATTACGGACTGTAATAATCACCGTATTGTTGCGTCAGGACCGAACGGATTCCGCTGTTTGGTTGGATGTTCAGGCGTTTCTGGGGCATCATCTAATCAATTATATTATCCAACAGCTCTAAGTTTTGATAGTTATGGAAATATGTATGTTGTTGATCAATTTAATAATCGAATACAAAAGTTTCTTATAGAAAGTACTATTTATAGTAAGTACAATAGAATCTTCTTTTCTCATTATCAAACAAGCGAGAAAAAATATTCTAATATTTTATCTATTCATTGCATTTTCAAAATTTTCATTTCAACAAAGAGGCCATTCTATGCTACTCAGGTAGCTGTAGTATCAATAGTAATTCGACGAATAAAGATTAAAAAGTGTCTGAAATATTGAGTTTCAAAGTCATACTATCCATTGTAGTTACTCGCGACTTGTTGTCTTGCTCATATTCGAGTAAATGAGCTGACATCTCTCTCACTACACATTTCTTCTAAGTGAATAATCTGTTGTAATCAAACTGCCTGATTTCTTCGAGCAAAGTTCTGACTGTAAAGGTATTTCTTATCAATGATTTCATTAAGTTCGAACTATAGAATTTAACCAAAGTTCAGAACTTGAGATCTGAATTTGGTCTTGTAAGTCATCGAAAGTTGAGCTGCTTTACTTCAGTGATTCACCGAAAGAATACTGAGGCAGGCCGGCGTTCTATGTAGAGGTAAAACTATTAATAGTTGTAGGAAAAATATTTGGCCTATGAAACTATCTCTGGATAGTACTTGATACTACAAGATAGCTGAACATAGCAGGATATTCTTCTTCTTCATTGAAATTGGATTGATTTTTTTAAATAAAAATGATTTGCCAAGATTTTTTTGTAACAGAAGTAAACAAGATATCTAATCCATTTTCACTTTTTCATAGATGTGACTACTAATCAACCAAATTTATGTCCATCTACAACTTGGTATACAGATGCAATTACATTTGCTAATAGTAGTACGGCTGGAACTTATGTATATGGTGTTTTTGTTAGTATTAATAATACTGTTTATGTAGCTAATCAACAAACTAATAAGGTTGTAGTATGGTACGAAGGAAGTATTAATCCAGATAAAATTCTTTCTGGTAGTCTGAATACACCATATGATCTTTTCGCTACTCCTATAGGTGATATATACGTTGATAATAGTGTAAGTAATGGTCGAGTTGATAAATTTTCATTCAACTCAAGTATAAGCACTTCGGTGATGTTAGTTCCTAATCAATGTACTGGTATTTTTGTTGATATTAGTAATACTCTTTATTGTTCAGCGTATACTTCTAATCAAGTTGTTAAGAAATGGTTAAATGATAATGTACTTACATCAACTGTTGTTGCTGGTAATGGTACAGCTGGATCAACAGCGACTACACTTAGTTTGCCTCTTGGAATTTTTGTCGATGTTAAAGTTAATTTATATGTTGCAGATTGTTATAACAACAGAATACAAATGTTTCCTGTTGGACAATTAACTGGAATAACTTTAGCAGGAGCAAGTGCACCAGGAACAATTACACTTAATCAGCCAAATGGTATTACATTAGATAGTAATGGATATCTTTTTATTGCGGATTGTTATAATCATCGAATAATTGGATCAGGACCATATGGTTTTCGATGTTTATTTGGATGTACGACAATATCTGGTTCTGCATCAAATCAATTGAATCAGCCAGTAACTTTAAGATTTGATAGTTATGGAAATCTATTTGTTGCTGATAGATATAATAACAGAGTCCAAAAGTTTATATTAGCATCAAATTCATGTAGTCAGTTATTTTTAATTTATTTTTTTGATTATATAAATTTATTTTATCTTAGGTATCTCTTATAATCAACCAACATTTTGTTATAATGCTTTATGGTCTGTAAATGCTGTAACTTTTGCATCAAGTAGTACAATTGGTACATCACCATACGGTATTTTTATTAATGGAATTAATACTGTGTATGTACCTAATCCAGTTAGTAGTATTATTTTATCATGGCCTCAATGGAGTAGTACATCAACAAGTAATAGTTATAGTAATTTGAATAATTCATATAGTCTTTTTATGTCTATGACTGGTGATATTTATATTGATAATGGTTATTCATATGGTCGAGTTGATAAATATACATTTAATACATCAAATCGTGTTACAGTTATGAATGTTAATGGAAGTTGTTATGGTTTATTTATTGATATTAATAATAATCTCTATTGTTCACTTAAAAATCTTCATCAAGTTGTTAAACTTTTACTTAATAATGGTACAACCATTCCGATAATTGCAGCCGGAAATGGTTCTGCTGGATCACTATCAAATATGCTTAATTCTCCTCAAGGAATCTATGTTGATAGTAATTTAAACTTATATATTGCAGACTGTGCGAACAATCGTATTCAATTAGTTCAAACTGGTCAATTAAACGGCGTGACAATCGTTGGTAATGGATCATCAACAAATTTTATACTCAACTATCCAACTGGAATTGTCCTTGATGCTAATGGTTATCTTTTTATTGTCGATAGTTATAATCATCGTATTGTTGCTTCAAGTTATTATGGTTTTCGATGTATAGTGGGATGTTTGGGAGGTGGTTCATCTGCGTCTCAATTATCTTTTCCACAAAGTATGGCTTTTGATAGCTATGGAAACATATATGTTACTGATCGAAATAATAGTCGAGTACAACAATTCACTCTTCAAACTAACAATTGCAGTAAGTTATTTGTCAATAATGCAACATTATGAAATTGTAGTTGATGATTAGTTTTTGCGACTATCATTTGAAAAGTTGACAAAAAAATCTCATATTGATGTTTTTAGTATAAATTCTCCCTAATTTGACTGAGTAAAGTACTATTGTTTTATATTTCAGCAATACCGACTACCACCACCACTACTACTACGAGCAGTACGAGCAGTACCACAACTAGCACTACTACTACTACCACAAGTAAGACTACAAGCAGTAGCAGTACAACAAGTAGTACTACCACCACCACTAGTAGCACTACTACTACTACAACCAGTACCACGAGTAGCACTACGACTAGCAGTACTACTACGAGCAGTAGCACTACCACTACCACCACCAGTACTACAAGCAGCAGTACTACAAGTAGCACTACTACCACTACCACTACCAGTAGTACAACTACAAGCAGTAGCAGTACCACAAGTACCACTACTACTACTACTACTACCACAAG